GTAGTTGTAGTGGTAGTGGTAGTGGCAGTGGCAGTGGTAGTGGTTGTGGATAGGAGCAGCAGCAGCAGTAGCAGTGCGACCCACAGAAATGCATCCTGGTAACAACGACAAAAAGGAGTCCTGACGCTCACTTGGATCTGAAGTCTTCTGCCCGGATGAGGGCGAGCATTACCCCTGCAAACATATCTGCCAACTCCGGCCCATGCTCCCATGCTCCGGCATCCCCACCTCCTCTCCTCACGGAATCTTTACTGAACCTGGCACCCTTGCAACATGTATAATTTGAGCTGCTTCTGAAGTCTGAGGGGCTATAAAACTAAAATCGAGAATTGTGTCCGAGCACCCCTCGAAAAAATCCAGGGCCCTAGAGTAGCCAGTGGCAAAGAAGACCCCAAAGCCAGTCTACACCACCAACCCGGAAACGTCAGAAAGCTTGAAGTTTTCAAGTTCAAGGCTGCTGACGTAACACTTTCAATACCTCTACAACCTTCACACCAACATCTTGCGAGATGTGGCCATGACCACACGGCATCCCTTGCGTGGCCACGGGTCCCCTATAGCCCCTTATAAAGGATGCCTACCATCATTCAACAGACTTTCCTTCATAACCGGACACCCTAAACCCTCCAAGTTCCCAGAGAACCCAATACCACCCAATCAAGGAAAAAAACCCTTAACTTATAAGAGCCTTAATATTATGATCTAAGGTATATATAGGAGCCTTAATACTATGATCTGTGGTATATTCCACCCTTTGGACCCTAAGCCCCAAGTGGTAAGTTTGGGTTCTCTGGGTTCAGAGAGGGCCTGGAGATCATTCAGCTGCCGCCAGAAGCCGGAGTTGGGATGGATGATGCTCCTCACTGTTTAGGGGTTTAGGGTTCAGGATTTAGGGGTTTAGGGTTCAGGATTTAGGGGTTTAGGGTTTTGGGGTTTAGGCTTAGGGGTTTAGGTGCTAGGGGTTTAGAGGTTTGGGGACGACAAACTTACGACTTGGCCTGGGATCTTTTTTGGGGGTTGGGGGCCTTCGGGTTTAATTTCGAGCTTCTACCCCACCAAAACCAAAACCATCCAAAACCCAAACCCAAACCCTAAACCCTTTGATTGAACCCAGACTCTGCCAATCAGCTGGGAAGCAGCACTTCCAGATCCTAAACCCTAAACCCTAAACCCTAAATAACCCTGCTCGGAACCCAGGATTCCTCGCCAAACTGCAGATCGGAACAGCAACAAGGCTGAGCAGTTTCAGGGCTCGGGAGCCTTGGGCACTAGACGAGGATTTCCTGGTGCATGGTACTATGATTGTAAGGGTTTAGGGTTTAGGGTTCAGGGTTTAGGGTTTAGGGTTTAGACTATGAGTTGTATAGGGACTTTGGAGGGAGATCGCTACTGACTGTTCAACGCCTATAGCCTATAACTAGAGCCTATGAACTATGTCGCTGAGGCCCTGCTGCTGCCACTCTGAGCACGAAGGCTGATCGAACACACTACGACACTACGACAGCAGAAACCACAGCTCAACTTCGAACAAGCAGGAACGCCCCCCTTGCAACCACCAATCCAAGTCGGAATTTGCGAATTTTCAAGACGGGGCCTCAACCTAAAACCCTAAACAGTAGGACCCTTTTGACAAGGATCACTCTTACAAAGGAGCCCCCCAAAACCCTCATTTCAGTGCCTGTGACCCGAAGCCCAGCTCGAAGACACTAAATACCCAGGCTCCTCACCGCATGGACCCGGCGGTGGGCAGCTTGCAGACTCCAGTGCTCCTTGATCATCATGTACCTCACCAAAAGGGCAATGCAGTGCGCACTGCAACTGTCATAGTCACAGATACCGCGGTCGCGGTGGCGGTAGTGTCATGCGTCGCCGTCGTCGTCGTCGTCGTCGCAGTAGCAGCACCAGCAGTCATCCTCCGCCACTACCACCAAGACCACCACCAATACCACCGCAGCCAACAACAGCAATAACAAATCAAAGAGGGTGATGGGAAAACAAAAGACTGCATGTGATCACCTCGAAGGACAAGTTACAACACAAAAAACGAATTCTCCTCACAGCAGACATGTCTCTGACATTGGCAACTCAAGTTTTTCAAGAAAGGAAAACCCGTAAGCAAGGAACGAAACTGCGAGTCGCGCCTTTGCTGTGTGGGAGCTGTAGTTTGGTGAGACTGTTGCACACGCAAACCAACCAGCCATCCGACCCTTTAACACTCAACACAAGGTTATGGGCTTTCAGCACAACCTGTTTCATCGTCACAGTCGAGAAGAGCACGTACTCCAAGCCCCGAGCTCATCTAATTTCTTCTAAACCCGAACCGAAACAGCGAGCTAGGACTCAGGCGCCATGCAGGAGGTCGATGCGCGAGAGACGCCAGCGGCACAGTGTATCACGACACCGCCTTTCTTACGCCCGGCCTGGATACCGTTTTGATTGATAGCCGAAGGTTTAGGGTTCAGGGTTCGAGGGTTTAGGATTTCGGCGCTCACACCCGGACACGCAAGGCGAGGCTGTTGGTGCGTAGTAGGACGTGGTGGACACTTCCAACAATGTCCCAATCTCAGAAACGATAATACAAAGTTAATACATGATAAAGTAGAAGGACATCAGTAGAACAGACACTTCAGAGGAACCTTCATATGAGGTACAGTGAGGATCTCTACAGGGGGTTTCAGGGTTCGTACTTCCGTGATGGTTTTTTGTGCACGACACGGATGATGGCCACAGTCATGGTTCTACTGCTATGTGCATACTAGCTACTCCGGGTATCCATGTAAAGGATGTCCGACTTAATTACTCCTCATCAACCTGTCGAGGCATACATCCTCGGGAGAGCGCAACAAGCCGCCCCGGCCCAAAGCCTAAGCCCCAAAGCCAAACTGTGAAACCCGAAAACCCTAAACTCTAACACCCCTTTTTTTAAACCCGTACTGAGGCCTATCTCGAAACCCCTAAACTCCAAACCCTAAAAGCCCCTAAACTCCAAAACCCTAAAAGCCCCTAAACTCCAAAACCCCAAAAAATACCTGCACTCCAAAACCCTAAAAGCCCTAAACTCCAAAACCCTAAAAGCCCCTAAACTCCAAAACCCCAAAAAATACCTGCACTCCAAAACCCTGAAAGCCCTAAACTCCAAAACCCTAAAAGCCCCTAAACTCCAAAACCCCAAAAAATACCTGCACTCCAAAACCCCAGAAAGCCCTAAACTCCAAAACCCTTAAAGCCCCTAAACTCCAAAACCCTAAAAAGCCCCCAAACCCCAAAACTTCCAAAACCCCAAAAAACCTAAACTCCAAAACCCTAAAAAAACCTGCACTCTAAAACTGAAGCCTTCTTACACTCAGCCCAGGCCCGAAACCCGCCTTTTTCTCTTAAGCCAAACCCTTCCTTTGCCCGAGATCGACCTCATCCTCCCAAGTTCCCCCTGATAGGGTTTAGGGTTTAGGGTTTAGGGTCTCATCCTCCCAAGTTCCCCCTGAAAGGAATAGTAGCCATGACTAAGTACATTAACTAGAATAATCAAGATCATAATAATAGTAGCCATGACTAAGTGCATTAACTGGAATAATAAAAAATCATGAGCAGTACCAGGGTAACAACCATAAAACGACTCTGCTCCTAGCAAACCGACGAGAAGACACAGGAAACGACAACGGATGCATCATCCGTTAAAGCTGGTGCCTCACAAAAGGGGAAGGTAGTGTTAGAGCCAATTAAGCATTGAACGGTCTTCCGGCTCATTTGCTCGATCGTGTTGTGCCTCAATAAAGTCCGCTATCTCTTGGAAGTGGACGCTGATGTTGCCTTAAAGGCACGGGACCGCAAAGGAAGGATTCTTCACCCCTAACTACTTGCATTGCCCATGCGACCCTCTGTTTAAGAACCCCCAGATGCAGCCACCGAATTCGTGGCTTCCTTGCCTTGGGGCTCCCTGAAAACCTGCCAGACCGTACCTGAGGCACTCCATGATATAGCCCGCATGTCTGAATGCGGCCCTGAGCACTCTGCCGAAGCCTCACCCGAACTCTAGAAGTCTAGCATAAACCCACCCTCATACCTCGAAGAGCTCTTCTGATCCAGGCCCTAAGCCCCAAATCCTAAGAATACCCTGCCACATCAAGCCTAAAGCCAAGGCCCAGGTGCAGTCTTCTATGTCATCTGCGCCGATGATCTTCACCTACCCGGGGCATGGTGGTTCGCACAGTCTAGCTGCGGACCTGCATGGGGGCCAAAGTCTAAGCTTAAATTACATCTTGAAAGCTGCCGTGCGAGACGATGGTATCAAAGCGCAAGAGCATCCAATCGGCATCAGCTTCACGTCAACCGTGTAAACGCAACGCACAAATTCGGGCCTCGAACTTCTTTTCAAGCTGGAGAAGGTCGTCCTCTCCTTTGCCCTGGGCGGGTGTAGGATTAGCCTGTCCGCTTGATTGCTCAACTACCAATACGACTACCTGGGTTGTACTTTTGAGGGCCTTTGAAAGCTTTATGAACAGCTACTTGCTACCTCTATAGGAACCACGAACCGAATTGACAAGTAAGCTACGACTGCGATTGCTACTGCTGCTTCCCCTTCCGCCAACCAAAGCCTACTCCCAGACCCAAAGCCCTAAAGCCTGACAAGAGGGAACCACCCTAAACCCTAAACCCAATAACCTAAGCCCTAAACCCTATACCCTAAACCCCCAATCGCAAACTCAAGCATTGCCGGGCCGTCGCGGTCATCTCATAGAGATTCTTCTGGGCAGCATTGAGGATGGCCTTGATGCCTCGAAAGACTTAGGGTTTACACTCTCACAATTCGGACAAGCCAGGCGAGGATCCATAGGTGCAATAGTCAGGGTTTAGGGTTTAGGGTTTATAGGGCTTAGGGATCAGGGTTTATAGGGCTGTTAGGGCTTATGGGGCTAATAGGGTTTATAGGGTTTAGGGATTAGGGTTTAGGGTTTATACTTGTCCATGGAGACAAGAAAACACCAAGAGCACGAGGAGAAGATTCGGAGAAGCGAAGCAGAAATAGAGCAGAAAGAGGTCTTGCCCTAAAGGCTCGCAAGCCCTTGATCTCATGACACAGCCCCTTAGGAGCAACAATGTTTTGAAAACTCTTAACACTCCATGCCTCATAATGCCTGGGGTAAGACAAGCCACAGCTGGTGTTGCAAAAGCAAACCCAAAGAATGACTAATGTAGGGGCCTTAAAACATTAGAATAGGGTTTTGGGGCCCACTATACTACAACTATACTAAGGAACAACCCCCAAGATAAGGTAGGTAATTATCTAGGCCCCTGTATTAAGCTCTAGCGCACAGGGTCTTCCACAACTTAGATTCGAAGGGCTCTCGGCAAACGGAGCATCAACGACTTCCGACTCCTTGCCTTTCGGGGTGCAATGCATCTTCATAATTAGAAATAATTAGCATAGAGTTGTGGGGTATGTTATACTATACTTATACTCTGGAACCCCCAAAATAGTATAGGTAATTATTAGGGCCCCCATGTTCAGCATATCAACAACCTGAAGGCCCTGGCCACAAGATGCGAGCAATGAAGCCGGAAGCCGTACGTCAAGGACCACACTGGTTCGCCTAGTTTTGTAGGGACCCGGTTTAGGGTTTAGGGTTTAGGGACTGCTCCCGAGAATTCCCGGTTTATTATATATGAAGACCTTAGACCCAGCAGACGTTCTGGTTTGAAGTTCTTGCAATCAGCCGTCAGTGGCAGACGTTCTGGCCTTAGGCGCTAACTTCCGCACATACCGGGGCGTTGTCCTAAACCGCCAAACCCGAGCGCACCGTACAGCCTAAGTCGGGTTCAATCCTTACTACCAGGCACCCCTCCCAAAACATCCACACCTTACCGTGATGCACATCCTAAACCATGTAGGGGTTGTCACCCAAAACCCCAAACCTAAACCCTTTTTTGAACGAGGTCTCTCTGAAGTGCCTCCAAGCTGCCCGTCACAAACCTAAACCCTGAGCCCCAAACCCTAAACCCATTTGTCTTAGAAGGCTTATTGGACCCCCAAACTGCTCGGACACATCTTTTCTGCACACTCCGTGCGATGAGGGCAGTGAAGCTCCAATCGAAGCTCCGATTCCTGCCGGCGAAGAGGGTAGCTATTTCAATTAGGATCCCTTTTGGTCGTTTTTTATAACGGTAGCTAGTTCTCTAAATTAGGGTCCGTTTTAGGGTCCTTTTTATGTGGGTGCCGCACTATTTTGGGGGACCTAAATAGGGATCCTAATTTAGAGAGCTATCCAAGTAGCAGAGCACGGGGCTTAGGTTTTTATAATCGCGCAAAGCTCGGAGACTGCTAGACGAGGTCTCTCGGTTTGCGTTCGCACTACGGTTGCAGCTCAGGTCGACACCAGGGCCAAAACAGGGGTTGCGGACTTTGGGGTTTAGGGCTTGAGGGTTTTTTGCCTCCGCCTAGGCTTCTGGGGTTTGGTGCTGGGGATTAGGGTCAAAATCGGACAAAGCACAATAAAAGGTATGACAAGTGCGAAGGACAGCATTCGTGGGAGGAGCCACGTCATTGTCGAGGTACATGTGGAAGTGTCACAAAACAAGCTGTGATGTAGTTGTCGTTAGCCACGGTGAAGTTGTCCAGGCATTTGCCTTATGAGTAGTCGTCGTCGCCCTTGTAGTCGTAGTCGTCGTAGGTACGTAGTAGGTGCTAGGTAGTAGGTAGTGGGCCATGGATAGCAGCTGCCCAGTAGCAGTAGCAGGGTATTGGTAGTATGTAGCATGCGACAGGCAGTAAGCAATGGACAGTAGGAGGTAGAGTAGTCGTAGTCATCGTCGTTTTGTAGTGGTCGCTTAGTAGTAGTAGTAGTAGTAGTAGTAGTAGTTGTTGTTGTTGTCGTTGTAGTAGTAGTAGTAGTAGTAGTAGTAGTAGTAGTTAGTAGTAGTAGTAGTAGTAGTAGTAGTAGTAGTAGTAGTGTAGTTAGTAGTAGTAGTAGTAGTAGTAGTAGTAGTAGTAGTAGTAGTAGCTTCTTGCACTAGTACTAAGTACTCGAACAAGCTACTACAGTACTACGAGTACTCAATACTAGACAATATTTGTACGAGTACTTATAATACCAATACTGGTATCTAGATTTTACCTTTTTGCAAGGTTTCCTGATTGTTCAGGTATTGGCCTTGAAAACCCTATATGCAATTTCAAAGACCCCGAAAAAACTCGAATCCGAAGCAAACCCTTTTTTCCCTTATAGCACTGCTGATTCAAAACCTCGTGGTGGCCTCCTCGCATCGCGAGCGGCGTAAGCGCAGGGCACTGGGCAAAGCGCCGGAAAGCTCCAGGAACCTCTAGGAGCTGTGCAGCAATCAGGGCTACGAAGGGGGTTTAAGGGCGTGGGGGCGGCTCCTGTGCGGGTACGGAGGGTACCTAAGATATCCGTCGGTCTCCAATTTTGGTGCCATTGTATGGCGACTGACGTTCCATGTGTCGTTGAGTATGTGGGGGTATCGGTCCCTCAGCTTCGAGTGCAAGGACTTAACCACTTTCCTGACATCTAAACTGCTTAAACCTGCAGTACCCATGAAGCTCTAGACCGGGTTCCGTAGGATGAGGATTCTCGAAGCACAACCCAAAGACTAGAACCTTGAACTCCTATTTCTGCGTCCCTGACTCATGCGATGGCTAAAGGTCTGCCAGTAACCGGGCATGCAGTCCTGTCCTAACCCCCAAGGACTCCAAAATGACACGCACGAGTCAGAAACCCTACACCCCCAAACTGAAACCCAACCTCAAGACCTCCAACCTTAGACTGAATAGTGCAACAAACTGCCAAAAACAGAGACCCTAAACCTTAGACCAAATCCCTCAAACCTCCGAGAACATTCTCGACAAAGGGCACGCAGAAGCCCCGAAACCCTGAACCCTAAGGCCAAAACACCGAACCCTCAACCCGACGCACTTCAACCTCTCAACATGAATCGTAGAAATCCTAAACCCAAACAAGGCGCGAAACCCCCAGCAGAACACCCCTAACATCCAACATGCAGAAACCCTAAACCCTAAAACCCCAAAGCCCTAAAGCCCTAAATCAAAGCACCTCTCAAGAGCGGCGTATTCCGGCTCCAAGGCAAGGCGCAGAGCTCGAGTCAGTGTCCTATTTGGGGATTTAGGGCTTATGGGGTTTTGGGGTTTAGTGTTTAGGGGTTTGGGGGTTTAGGGTCGTCGAGTTTGGGGGTTCTGGGGTTGAGGGTATAGCTTAGGGTTCAGGGTAATTAAAGTTGAGGGGGGAAGGTAGAGTAGGGTTTAGGGGTATGTCGCTGTCTGCATTTGCGGTAGAGCACTCGATTTTTAGTTTTGGTTTAGGTCCTTTAGGCAGCAAGGCTCTAGGGATTCGTTTGGCTTTATCCAGGGTAGAGCTTTCAAGCTTGATATGGGGATGGGGCTCTAGGGCTTTATCATGTTTCGGCTTTCGGGGCAGGGTTTTCGGGGTTACAGCTGCAAGGAAAATTCCTGCAGGCCCTAAACCCTAAACCCTAAACCCTATGAGGCTGTTTTTGTCTCCCGAAGTCTCTGAGGCTGCAGTCAAATGTCGGGACAGGTGGGCGAAGGATCCGAATCTGCCCTAACTCCGAATCTCCGGAGGGCTGGTCCCAAATGACGATGCATGTGGTTAGCCTTTAATCTAACGGCTCTTGAAGCAGCCACGAAGAAAACAAGTTAAACCTGCATTCCATGATGATTCCGGCAATGATCGCTTTATAAGGAAACCAGAGAAAACAACACAAAAAACAGTAAGACTGCCTGAATGGGAAAGCTAATTTGCGGCAATACAGAGCAGAACGGACCAGAAAGCAAGTGTCCTGTTGCGGCAAAGGTCCGTCCGATGACCGCCCCATGCATTGAATCTTCGGAAGCCTTGGCTAGTGCACATCTCAGGGAGGGCAGTGCAGCGGCGCGCTTGCGACATTCTGGTTGGAGCTTTTTTGCACTTAGAAACACACCGCTCCTGTTGTGCCAGGTGCGCCGAGACAGAATTTCAAACTCACACCCGGCCGCACCCTGAGTCCCCCATGGCAAGACACATTCTATTCGCATTGCAACCTTGTGCTAGTTCATGGTTGGGGTAGTATTAAAATTTAAACTTATATTCCTTATTGGGTTTAAGTACCCTTAAAAATGTAAAATGTTACCCAACTATGACAAAGTGTGAACCTGCCTCATGACCCGTGCTTTACAACCGTGCTAAGGCAGCAGCCTTGAGAAGGCGCCACGCAGACTTCCCCAGAGAGCCCATTGGTTTAAAGACTTCACGAACTTCAGATGCACGCAGTCAAGTTGCAACTTTAGGCACTCCAGATGGAAAGAGTGCTGCAAATAATTCAAACACTGCAAATCAAAGGTTAACAATCAATACTAGTCAAACAGCAAACAGTTGCAGGAGAATCTAAAGTAAGCAGGGATGTATATTCAAAATTTGCGAAAAATTACAAAATAGTAGTTTGAAAAATATATTTATGTATTTGTTGTTTCTTGTTTCATTTTATTTGTTAAATAACCATCATCACAATATAAATAAATATGCTGCTGGCTGCAGCAGCTACCGCTATCTATCTAGGATGGTACACTCGATGTGTTTGCACACATAGTGAATGACCAAGTTGCAAATGCAATATTTGTGGGTGAGTTTGGATGACCGAGAGCAGGTCACTATTGTAATATTCTTTTTAATATTATTGCCAATGTGAGATATTTGCTTGGTGAGGATGAATAGCTGTCGAGATTTTTGGACACAAATACCCCTTAATTAAGGAATATAGCTTAAATCATAATATTAAGGCCCCTACAATTTAAGGTATATTCCTTATTTAAGGGGTATTGGGCTCTCTGGGTTCAAGACATGTCACCACACGTGACCCAACGGCAAAGCTTTCACCCTGGAGTGGGCCTCAGCATCTGGCGGGTTTTAGCGGGAGCTTCCCCTGTTATCTGTGCCCCATTGGCGCAAACTATGGCCAAACCCTCGTCAAAACATCCTTTAACGAAGGCCCTTCCCAAAGAAACAGCAAGCTGTAGGTAAATATATCTACAGAAATGTGAGAACCTACTACAGCATTCTGAGCTATTTAAGCAAAAAAACATGCGGCACACTTCATGGAAAGAACTAGGGAATCGAAAACTACCCATATTATATCATATCATATCATATCATTGCCGCAGCTTCTAGGTACGACCGCAAAACCTGTACAAAGTCCTTTAAACCACTTGTAAAGTGTGCAAGGGCCCTTCTAAACACCCTCCCCACCCGTTGTGAAATCCTATACGGTCCTATACACCTGTATAAAACCTTTCTAAAGCCCTGATATCTCGCTCCCTCTCTCTCTCTCTCTATCTATATATACGTATGTCTGTATGTATGTATGTATGTATGTATGTATGTATGTATGTATGTCTGTATGTATGTATGTATGCATGTATGTATAACATTTATATATATATATATATACATGCACATATCTGTCTGTCTGTCTGTCGGTCTCTGTATGTATATATTTATGTATACCATATATATGTATATATCGCACCAAGTCCTCTGAATGCCGGGCCGGTGACTGGGAAGCTTCTCCCAGGAAGCGCCAAGAAAGTTAGCCGCCCCATGGAAGAAGAGCCCAGGGGCCTTGGGGCTTTTTCTGGAAGGGGGCTGTCCATAGGGTTCTGAAAATGTAAGTCTGAAGGTCCTATAAGTCTATCAGCGTTCCATATTGAATTTGGGGTTTGGGGCTGTTAGGGGCTAGGAGGCTTGCTGGTTGCACGGTGTAAGGCTGTTGTTGGAAGTTCGGCGCCATAGGTGGGGCCTACTTGGAGGCCCAGATGACTTAGTAAGTAGGTTATAAGTAGAGTTATAAGTCCCCTAAATGGAGTTCCCCCAATTATA